GGTCTTGCTGGTTTGCTAGTATAGTTGGCCAGCTTGGTATGGCTGGTCAACCGGGCCAGGTAAGCTGGTGTCTGCTGGTCAAGCTGATTGTCCTGCGGGCTGGCTGGCTGGACTGACCAGCAAAGCCCGCCTGGTAAGCTGGTCAAGCTGGTTAGGATGGTTTGATTTTTTACATTATGAATTTCTCCCCACATACTATTAATTAAGTTAATTCATATGACCTATGGACCTGGTTTGTTCTGTTCTTTATTGCAAGAGAAATACTTGAAATATTAAATTGTTTTGATTTCATCTATTTAATTTACTTTGAGTAAAATGTAATTAATCAATTAAAATCTGATACATGGAGCAGTTCATTCATTCATTCATATAATCAAACAATTTAACAGTACAATTATTCAGGTGGCATATTCAACGCTACATAGTTTAATGTGCAGGAACTGTGGTTTTGATTGACAAATGTAGTAGTAATGTTATTTAACAAGGCAATATGCTGTGGCTTAAAACAAAGTTTAAGAAAAGCAACACAGCTTTTAATTTAAAACAAAGTCTTTAATTTGAATTGGATACAGGAAGTGGCATTCGACCGACCAATTGTGTAATTCCATCACTCAGCTGAATTTCTAACACTCAATCATCACATAAATACCTTCAAAGGGAAGCTAATATGGACAAACACTGGACAAAAGGTCACATCTGATGGCTAGATAAGCATTTAATATAAGACCCCAGGTCTCACAGACCTATGGAAGAGGGAATAGGCTTGAAGGCAAAACAATAAATGGTGGCCAAGGGTGAGTACTTCCGTACTCTAATGTGTAGAAAATGTGTAGAAAAACTGCATTGTTTTACCCATGTTTTGTCATCATAAGGAAGATTTTTGGTGGTAATACAAACCTGCAATAATGCATACCAACACCAATTTCTTTAGAAGAGAGAATACATAAGTTTAAAAAAACATTTACATTTGAATTTTGTCATGTTTAAAAATAATCACATCCCTTTTTTATCATCTTATTCACACAACAGTGGTAGGTTCCAACATTTGAGTCTCAAGGACAATTGAAGAACATTTATAACAATAAGAAATGCAGTAAGCCAAAAATACTAGTAGTAGTAGTACAAGTACTTTAATGGTAGCATTTTGCCTTTTAAAGTATAGTTCCCTTTCATAAGAATGCAATACAGAGGTCTGTCATATCATAATGTTTTATATAGGATTTTCAGACAATTGTGTTCCTGACAATCACTGACAAACTGTAATTAGTAATTTAACAGTATGTTTACATTAAAGACATGACACACAAAATATATGGCAAACAATGACATTTCATCATTAAGTCAATAATCAAGCAATACATTAAACACAATTCAGGACCCACTTGTATCTTTACATTAAAAGAAAAATACATCAATAAAACACTCAAATGTACTACAAGACCTAAATTAATGAATTATTTGCTAACTATTAAATTACAACTATTTGGAAAATCAATTAATCGTTTTAAGTCACTTTTAAAATGTGAATATTTTCCGGTTTATAGTCTTCTATGACAGTGAACTGAATATTTTTTGGTTGTGGAAAAAACAAGACATTTGAAGATATCACCTTGGTATTTGGGCATATTTTACCATTCTATGGACCACAAAAAACTATCGATTAAACAAGAAAATAATGGACAGATTAACGATAATGAAAATAATTGTTTGCTGCCGCCCTACTGCAGCAGATTAAAATTACAATCTGATTAAAAGCAGACTGTTAAACTCACATTTAATAATAATTTATTTTAAATGTTCTCAGAACAATGCAGTGAACTATGCTCACAACGCACGACAATCGTTCTTCTCTGACATCATTACCAAAAACAAAAACAACGCACGTGCCTTGTTTGCTACCGTCGACAGACTAACTAACCCCCCAGTGTCAGTAGCCTCTGAATTTCTATCCACCAGGGCGTGCAATGATTTTGCCTCCTTTTTCACTGACAAAATTCAGAAAATCAGACAAGCAGTCAGTGCCTCTGCATCAGGAACAGCAAATGTGTTGTCCCTATCTCCACTTAACATCAATTCAGACATCATGACACAATTCCATCAGATTAATGATAAAAACCTAGAGGACATTATTCAACTTCTGAAATCCTCCTCCTGCTGCCTTGATATTATTCCAACAGGATTTTTCAAAGATGTTTTGCCTTGCATGGCCTCAGATCTACTTCATATAGTAAACAAATCTCTTCACTCAGGTATTTTTCCACAGGCCCTGAAAACTGCAGTCATTAAACCGCTCTTAAAAAAGAATAATCTAGATGCTTCAGTAATGAACAATTACAGGCCCATATCAAACCTCCCATTTCTAGGTAAAATCATTGAAAAAGTTGTTTTTCAACAGTTGAGTAATTTCTTGCATTTAAATGACTGTTTTGATGTGTTCCAGTCAGGCTTTCGTCCAAACCACAGCACTGAGACTGCTCTTGTAAAGGTCTTTAATGACATCCACTTAAACACAGACAGTGGCAGAACTTCAGTGTTAGTATTATTAGATCTCAGTGCTGCGTTTGACACTGTTGACCACAGCATATTACTAGACCGACTGGAGAACTGGGTGGGACTTTCGGAAACAGTTCTGAATTGGTTTGAATCCTACTTAAAGGACAGAAACAACTTTGTTTCTATAGGTAAATACACATCTGAGTTGACAAATATGACATGTGGGGTTCCTCAAGGCTCCATCTTGGGGCCTCTTCTCTTTAACATCTACATGCTACCACTGGCTCAGATAATGAAGAACAACAAAATAAGTTACCATAGCTATGCAGATGACACACAAATTTACGTAACAATTTCACCAGGAGACTATGCTCCAATTCAAACACTGAGTAAGTGCATTGAACAAATCAATGACTGGATGTGTCAGAACTTTCTCCAATTAAACAAAGATAAAACTGAGGTAATGGTTTTTGGAGCCAAGGCAGAACGTATACAAGTTAGCGCTGAGCTTCAGTGTGCAATGTTCAAAACAACAGATAAAGCCAGAAATCTAGGTGTAGTCATGGACTCTGACCTGAGTTTCAACAGTCACATTAAAACTGTTACTAAATCAGCCTACTATCACCTAAAGAATATATCTAGGATTAAAAGACTAATGTCACAGCAGGATTTGGAAAAACTTGTCCATGCTTTTATCTTCAGTAGACTGGACTACTGCAATGGTGTCTTCACAGGTCTCACTAAAAAATCTATTAGGAAGCTGCAGCTAATTCAGAACGCTGCTGCTCGAGTCCTCACTAACACTAAGAAAGTGGATCACATCACTCCAGTTCTGAAGTCTTTACACTGGCTTCCTGTGTGTCAAAGAATAGATTTCAAAATACTGCTGCTGGTTTATAAAGCACTGAATGGTTTAGGCCCAAAATACATTTCTGACCTCCTGCTAAATTATGAACCATCCAGATCTCTCAGGTCTTCAGGGACTGGTCAGCTTTCTGTCCCCAGAGTCAGAACTAAACATGGTAAAGCAGCGTTCAGTTATTATGCTCCAAATATCTGGAACAAACTCCCAGAAACCTGCAGGTCCGCTGCAACTCTGACTACTTTTAAATCCAGGCTGAAGACTTTTCTTTTTGTCGCTGCTTTTAATTGAACTATTCATATCTTAGACTGCACTGTAACTTTTATCCATGTACTTTTTTTCTTTTAATGTTTAATTGACAGCACTGTAACTTTTATCCATGTATTTTTTCTTTTAATGTTTATTTTATTAGCTTTTCTTTTTAATGACTGATTTTAAATGCCATTTTCTTAATCTCTTTCATTTTTTGTAAAGCACTTTGAATTGCCTTGTGTTGAAAAGTGCTATATAAATAAACTTGCCTTGCCTTGCCTTGCCTATGCTCAGAACAGTCTCATAATACACACATGCGCACAGAAGGATTCACACTTGTATTTCATGATCCACAAAAGGATTCACACTTGTATTTATACTTAAGTTCTTTGTGAATTGGTTAATATATTATGAAAGCTTGAGTCAACATTCTTAAAAAAGTTTGAATAAAAATGATCAATAAATGGAAACAAGTAAATGTATAAACATAGTTTTAGCATGCTACAAGCAATACACATTTGCAGATTCTAGAGATTTTCCCTGTTTTCCCTAATGTGAACAACTACTGCCATGTTTTAATCTCTCTCAATTGAGTTTGGTAAATCACACACAAACACTTTCTCAACACATTCTATGAAAACACACTTGTGGTGTAATCTATGTACTGCAATCAGTTCCATTTGTGATCTGTCACCTGGTCTGATGCAGGCAATGTGTGGCACAGACACCCTTTGTGGGAAGGCAGCCAGAAGTGTGTAAAATGGGATGAAAAGCAAGGCAAGTTCACTTTTTCCATCTACATCATAAGAGAGAATCTGATGCAACTCTCCCCGAGATCCATCAGACAGTCTGACGCACCAGTCATTGCGTCTCTTCCCCTGCGAGATGGAGTTCATGACTTTATGAGCTGTTCATGAGCACTCATGAAACATTCATGAACAACTCATTATATGTTCACTTGTCATGTTCATGAACCAAAATTCTTAAAATGCTCATGAATCATTTTAAAGAGCAGTTCATGACATTTTTATGAACATTGTTCATTCATATAAAGTTCCTGTTTTGCTCATGACAGACTTTTATGAGCAATTTATGAACTTTTCATGGTCCAGCCAATCACAACATTATAATTAAAACCCCAAAAAGTTTGCATGAGCATTCATGAATGTTGGATGATTGTGGCAAGTACAGAATATTTTTGAATATTCATGAGCATTTTATGAACTTTTGATGATCAGTGTGATGATTTTAAAGACCTCTTGAATATTCATCTACTATTTGAACATTTCTTTATTTTTTAAAACTTTTAATCTTAAAACAAAACAATAGTGCATTTGAAACTGAACATTATCTGTATTTATTTTTGGTGACATTCATATCATTTTATGGTTTATCTGTACTGTTTGAGAAGCAGTACGAGTAAGTAGCGCCAAGGTGGAACCTTTGGCAGGTGAGCGGTGACATCTGGGTTATTTTATGGGGGACACTTCCGCCCCCTCCTCAGTCAGAAGCAATCCAGACGATCAACCGGATCCTGTGTATAATTATTGCTGCTGCACTTTTCTGTTTTCTACAGGTCAGTACATAATGAAAATGATCGATGTTAACTTGTGTGAATTAGATATGATGTTGGAGATGTTTAGGAGAGTGTGTCAGAAAGTTTGGAGCATGTTTGACATAGTAACGGTATTTTAAAAATACTAAACTGTCGGCAACAATAGATGCCATTTTCGCGGGCTTCAGCCGCGCCTGGGTAAATGTGACCTGAGCGAAGGCTCGCAGGCAGGTTAGCTGCTGCGCACGGGTAATATGTTTTGTTTACCTGAGTGAAGTCTTGCAGGCACATTGCCTTGTTTTTTGTTTATTAACATTGACAGTGTATTTTTGTGATCTCCATAATATGTTATATTTGGTAAAGATAGATATATTGATAGAAAGTATTATTTGATAGCGTTATGTGTTTATATTGACTATGTTGAATTTCTCCTTGAGATACAGTAATGGACTGTGACAGACGGATAACTTAAATGTGATGTTTGTAAAGTACAGCTATTTAAATGTAACTGTGTACTTTGAATTTTGAATAAGAAGCAATCCAGACGATCAACCGGCCGCAGTCCTCGCCCTCATGCTCGGCGCCCTGAGTTCGCCCGCGGTGGCCTTCGCCCCTCCATAACCCCCATTTTGGACTCTGCCTTGCCCCCGGGCCGTCCGCCCGAGACCCCTTCCTGGTCCTCTGCCTTGCCCCCGGGCCGTCCGCCCGAGACCCCTTCCTGGTCCTCTGCCTTGCTCCCGGGCCGTCCGCCCGAGACCCCTTCCTGGTCCTCTGCCGTGCCCCTGGGCTGTCAACCCAAGCCCGTCCTCCAGACCCCCTCCACCCACCCTGGTGGCTTAGTGATGCGTTGTTTGTGTGATTAGTCTTGTGTGTATTTAAGTTCTGGTTTTTCTGTCTGTCTTTGTCGGTTCGTCTTTCGTTGTTGACTGTGTTCACCGGTGAGTGTTCTGTCTGTCCTAGTTCTATTTTTCATTATCCTTGAAATAAAGGTTAAATCAGGTTAATCTGCATTTGGGTCCTGCTTCCTTCGCTCTACCGTGACATATATAATGTGTAAATATATTGCTTTTTTCAGATCCACATTGGAACAGACATTTGGCTGCGAGAAGAGGTGAGGAGAAAAATTGATTCCACAACAAAGGACTCGCTCTTTGTGAAGGAGTTGGCTGTAGCCATATGGGGTACAGCAGAGTTAATGGGAAGAAGTGTGTCTGGAAAGGAATGCCCGAGCAAAACGACCGAAGCAAAGCCTCCCTTAACCCCATGCAAGCTTGGGACCGTAAAAGGTATGTGACACATCTCCGTACACTGAATGTCATCTTAAACTAACAAATTAAATACTACAAACATTCAAGACAGACAGGTGATGAAGACTTTTGCAATGTAATTGATTGCTCCGCTCGCCCGTTAGAGCCTGTCATCTTCCAAAAGTCAAGCAGCTTATTACAACCCACAGACACGTTTTAAAGTTTTCAAAAGTGGTCGAGTAAGTTATAACAATCTGCTGTCTCAGGCGGATCATAAACTATGGGATTAGTTTTGTTTCATAATGATAAAGCAACACTTTCCTCCATTGATTTTCATATCAAATTAGTGTGTTAATAAAATAAGCTATCATGGCTTATACTTGCATATCTAAACAGAATCATGAAAGCATGTTGGTAGAGTCAGGCACACGAGTCCATTTGAGTGTGTGCGCCGGTGTCTGAACTCTGAACGCTCACTGCTAGCTATGTAGCTAACTGTTCCTGCTATTAGGCTACTAGCTTGCATTGTTATGGATCTAAAGTTAGCAAAAGCTAACTTTCATAACACAGCTTTTCTTTACTTCTCACTTAACTAAAACAATAAAGAAACAGACCGTATAGTACAACACATATGATCAATATTTACATATATTTTCACTTGTAGTATTATAATAATTGAAATGCTGGTTCTTCTGGGGGTCTTCTGTCCACGCTCAGCTACCGCACCGCAGCTGCCTGCATTGTACAATCACTGGAGGACTGGGCTGTCACTCAAAAACTGAGTAGCCAATGGGGACGCACCCCTGAAAGTCCCGTCTACCTGGGAGGTTTGTGTCAGAATAGAGAGGCGAAGTCACGCCCATCTACTCCCTGGGACCTTATTTCAGAAAAAGTATGTATTGAAGTCAATGGTGAGAGAAAGATTATTTTTCGATCCCGTTTGAATTGTGCCACGAATTACACATATGATGTTTGTTAATCTTAAACAATTATTTTCATGTAAAAAAAAGTCACAGTTTGTCGTAAAACTGTTGAAATATAAGACTATGAAAATTACGCAACTAGAAAGACTACAAATCCCAGAGTCCCGGTCCCACATGCTGGCTCTGGAACCGACTAACTCCCCTTGTGTGTATGCACAGCTCTCAACATGCCCAGACTTGGAGTGATTTTCACCTCTTTTAATACTTTCCGCCTCATTCTGAAAGAAAGAAGTGAATTGTTCCAACGTGACGTCATTGAGCGGTTTTACGACACCTTTTTATTTTTTTTACTTGCAAAATTATCTTTTAAATTGACAAACATCATATGTGTAATTCGTGGCACAATTCAAACGGGATCAAAAGGTAATCTTTCTCTCCCCATTGACTTCAATACATCATTTTTCCAAAATAAGGTCCCATGGAGGAAAGGGAGGGACTTCACCTCTCTATAGAAAACAAAAAATGAGAAAGCTGCAGCGAGAGCAAAAGTCTGATCATTGAGAAAGAAGCAAAGAGAACTAGAGATAAAAGATGTTAAAACAAAGAAAAAAGACTTATAGTTTACATGATTACACAAATGATTTGTTTGCAACATATAGTTTTATTTTTGAAATTACATTTATTTTGCTTATTTTTTTTCTCTTAAAATCTTAGTTCTGCTTGATTCGGAGAAAGTGTTGCTTTATCTTTATGAAACAAAACTAATCCCATAATAATCATGTGACCTTTGAGGACAGTCAATACAAAATAAAAACGTGTGCAAAAAGTTTATATACATGTAATATAATAGAATATGATATTTACAAGAACAGAATATGAAATTAAATAATGTAAATGAAGAAAAACATTAAATACGGTGTATTGCGTGGATAATAGACCCAATCACAGTGAATGTTCAAAACTAAATTTGATACATTTTTCTTTTTCATCTCAGAGTGCACATATTTAAGTAATCATAACACAAAGCTAAAAGTTTCCTTTCTCTTTTCAAGAGTGCTTCAGAGGATGGCTGATCAAGCAAAACGTGGAGAAGACCAAGAGGGAGAAGTTGGCCGGTTACTTCATTTCGCAAAAAATACAGGACCTCTTGAAAAAGGGGAAGAAACAGTTGAAATAAAAATCTGAAGGAATGGGTGTTTGATGTTTTCCAATTTGTATTAATGTTCATGTTGTGTGTTATAAATGATGTTCCTGCTTCTAATCATTTGATGTATGAGTATTTATTTACAGACAATACATTCTATACATTCTGGTATACCTTTCTGGTAAGGTAGGTGCTCTGATCTGAAATGATAGATGTTCATTGAGCTACTGCAATTGGGTGAGTGTTTCATCATCATATATGACCAGCTTAACCACCATTTAATCCCAGTTAAAGTTCTACTCAAGATCATACCAGTCTGACCAGCTAATGGGGACTAGCTAGACCACTGTGACTACCAGCTAAACCAGCTATCCCGACCAGCTAATGGTGACCAGCTAGACTACTGTGACCACCAGCTTTTACCAGCTAAACCAGCTATCCCGACCAGCTAATGGTGACCAGCAAGACCACTGTGACCAAACTAGCTAGACCACTGTGACCAAACCAGCTAATGGTGACCAGCTAGACTACTGACCACCAGCTTTTACCAGCTAAACCAGCTATCCCGACCAGCTAATGGTGACCAGCTAGACCACTGTGACCAAACCAGCTAGACCACTGTGACCAAACCAGCTAATGGTGACCAGCTAGACTACTGACCACCAGCTTTTACCAGCTAAACCAGCTATCCCGACCAGCTAATGGTGACCAGCTAGACCACTGTGACCAAACCAGCTAGACCACTGTGACCAAACCAGCTATCCTGACCAGCTAGACCACTGTGACCACCAGCTTTTACCAGCTAAACCAGCTATCCCGACCAGCTAATGGTGACCAGCTAGACCACTGTGACCAAACCAGCTATCCTGACCAGCTAAAGTGTCCAAAACCCCTCTAACCAGCTAACTAATCCAGCCTAATATTGTCTGGCTGGTTTACCAGCCAGACCAGCCTTGTTGGTCTAAGCTGGTTTTTTCAGCAGGGTAGCCAAGCTTTCGAGGAGCTATTCCAGCCACAGGCACCCCGAGTGAGAGGGTTTTTTCCCTGGCAGGCAACACTGTCACCCGAAAGCGGTCAAGCCTCCTTCCCTCACATGTCGATGTGTTGGTGTTCCTCAACGCAAACCAAAAATCTGGAAAGGTGGACGTTATCGTGGAGGACAGCGAGTAAAGTGTTGCGCAATGCGCTGTTGCGCACTGGATTTACGTGGCATTTCACTAAACAGAGTTTTTTGCTTTCGATTTTGGTGAGTCCAGTTACTGTTTGTTATTTACTAAGTCCAGTTACTGTTTGTTATTTACTAAGTCCAGTTACTGTTTGTTATTTACTCAGCCATGTAACACAAATTAAAATGCAGTGTTTAATGTAACTGTATGAGTTCCGATATAAAATACAGTTGTACACCTCTCTTTGTGTGTCTTTATTATGACGTGACGACTAGTCGACTGCTATTTTGAAAAACGTGTCGACTAGTAAATATTGGTAGTTGTGAAACCCCTAACACACACACACATCATGCCCCCCGGTGACAGGACATCTCCTTCATAAAACGAGGGAGAATACTGTGGTAGTTTGATGTGTGTGTGGTTAAACGTAGCAGCCTCGATCTCTATTCAGCGGTTCTAATGAAGGGAAACGCAGTGAAGTAAATAGTAAAAGGCACAGCTCTTTGCAGCTGGTGCTGCTCTTCTCAGATTCTGCTGAGTTACACGTTACTGCCTCCAGTGCCCTGTACGACGAAGCCAGTTCAACAGACCCTGGACCTGGATATGTTTGATTTACCCGGCTTAACTAAACCTAACAAACGCGATGTCTCTAAGCGGTCCTACGAAGCTGGTTATCAACTCAGTAAATCAACCAGGGTTTCTCTGTCCGGCTGAGAGCGCGTTCATGTGAAAGGGACGGGGTTAGCAACATTTGACCAATCACAAACATGGAGACGCGTGGTGACAGCGCAGCGTCATACTTCATGAATGAATAGTGTAAATAGCAAATCCTGCTTCGTAGTACAGGCCACTGGTGCCGCAGAGATTTCACAAAGTGAAGGAGGTTTTCCTTCTATAAAACAGCTGTGGGCAGCAGATACTGTGAGTCACGGACAGGAATCCCTCAATTTAAATAAAACGAGGCCACGCTTTATTAACTCGTGCGCACACTTTAGTAACTCGTGCGCACGAGTTACTAAAGCGTGCGCACGAGAAAGTAAAACGTGGCCACGTTTTATTTATTTTTCTCTCTATGAACCCTCCAGGGCTCCGTACGTTTATGAATCTTTCTCCGCACCAAAATATACATCAGCTACTCTTGTTGCCTGTTAAGCATGACTTTCCACCAAATTTCATATAATTTAAAGGGGACCTATCATGCTAAATGCACCTTTGGACGTCTTTTATACATGAATATGTGTCCCCGGTGTTCCAGGGAACTCACCAAGTGTCAGAAAACACAACCCTCTCTATTTTCCTCCTTCGCCAAATCTCTAAAAAAAGTGGCTGAAACGGATCTGAAAAAAACGGATCCAGATTTCAACACTTTCCTACGTCACAAAGAGACGTGCTCCGCTTATTGGTCAACTCTCCACCTATCAGGGGAATGAGCCACGGCCACGTGCATTGCCAAACCTCTCATTTGCATATAGGCTATCGGCAGGCTAAATCAACTCCAGTCACATCTGTGTTTTTGTCTGCTCTTGCCAGGATGTCTAAGCGAGTTAAACTTTGTGCTGTTGTTGGCTGCAAGACTCGGGACAGGGGACTGCATGCAATGCCATCAGTGGAAAAAGAAAATAATCTATGGCTAGACTTCATTTTCAAGGGACATGTGCCAGAAGACCACGGCAGATTTCTGTTTGTGTGTTCCAAACATTTTACCACGGACATGTTTATGAACTTCTCTCAAGTCCAACACGGATATGCCTCCAAGCTAATGCTAAACCCGGGATCAATACCAACCATCCGGGAGCAGGCCAGTGAGGACACATCCAATTTTGAAGCTGTACGTTTTTATTTAGCGGTGTTTTTCCTGATAAAGCTATCTCTAGCTTGTAGTATGTAGCATGTAGCATGTAGCTTCGCCGTATCAATGTCGCCTCAAACCCAAATAGTAATCGGTTAGGTGTTTATATGTTTTTATAACATTTTATATTGTACGCTCCGCAGTCTTTGCTTTGTCTTTTATTTTAATTATCAGGCATTTGCTAACATGTTCAGACATACTGCCGTAATGGCGATCTGTGTGAAGGCTGTAAAGCCACGCCCTAGCCGATAACACAAGTATTTATTCTCCTATTTATTAGTATTTTGTATCCTCTAAAATCATATTGAGTAAGTTATAATAACAAACGTAATCTTCTGTAGGTAAGTGCCGTTTTTTCCAGCGTTATATGTAAAAGCTTTTGTGATTGTAGTCTGTAAGAACGATCAGATCTGTAAGCTAAGCTACGCTAATGAGACATGCCGTTTTTTCCAGCGTTATATGTAAAAGCTTTTGTATGTTTACTTGTTTACGCACATGAATATAAATGGGGATGTGTTAGGATACAACACTGTGTGTATGTATGTGAGGGGGGACACACACCATGAGTAAAACAGAACTAAAGCCCCGTTGGTCTGTTGTTGTTGACGAGGCCTTACCTAGCAACAGGCTAATTAGTGGCTAGCACTCATTACAGTCAGTCTACTGAGCTCAGCCCCTCTCCAACACATCATCTGTATTGAGTCAGAAACACAGCATGCACGTTACGGTTCAAAACTAACTCAGATTGGAAAAGGCTAAGCAAAGAGCTTTGCTAAATAGAGAGTTTTAGCCCCCATCTTTTGGGATTTCAGACGATATTTATCCAAATAGTATTTTCTCATCCTGAATACTAAATTGAGATGATTTTGTTTTCTTCTTTACAGGCCAGCACCTCACATGCTACCAGCAGATTACCTGTGATGACAGATTCTGCATGTCAGACTGACCCACCCAAGTACCGTACTGTTCGTACACAGCTATCCTCGAGGACTCTTGGTTCACATCGAAGTACAGGTTAGAAGCACGTTTTTCAAATGTTCTTTGGATACATCTTGACATTCTGATGTTGTAGCCTTTAATTTGTGTGCTTCTAATTGTTGTAAAAATATTTTTGTTTTATCTTTTGTTTTGTTTTTAATGTCAAATACAATTATGTTACAGCTGTCCAGGCTAAAATTCCCTGCAGAAGCGTTGGTGTCGAAACACTTCCGTTGGAAGTGCCAGTGCCCTTTTTAACATCCACCCCCTTAAAGAGACCACCAAAGAGGCCCCGTGTGGATCTTGAAGAGGAATACGAAGATCCATTTGAGGGAAGCTCTTCTTTGGTGATTTCCGAAGGCCAGGATGCAACTTATGATCCAGCAGAATCCATAACAAATGCTACAGAAACAACAGCCATGTCGTAAGTTACTGAAATATCACTATGTGTGAGTTTGTCTATGTATTGTATTTTTTGCTGTATATAATTCAAACATTGATAATAGGGAAACACCAAAGATCTCTAAAGCAACAATCTGTGTGATGGATATTAACTTCTATTTTTTAGTTTTAGTGGTCAAGAACAAAACCCCCCCCAGACGATCAACACATACATCGTGTATGAGACCTGCCTCATGGAGCTTTTTGAATCATGTCCTGTGTGCAAGCGTGTGTGTAATGTACAAACCAGAAGGATCGGTACATTCATATCAGTGCAGCAGCTGTGCCCCCATTGTCAGTTTACAAGAAACTGGAATAGCCAGCCTGTTCTTGGGAGTACTCCAGTTGGAAACCTGCAGCTATCAGTTGCAACATATGTCAACAGAGCATCTTTCTACAAACTTTCAAAGGTAAATTAACTGCAGAAGATTGTATTGCCAATGTTTGAAAATGCAAATGTTGTTGTTGAATACGATAGGACAAGGTAACAATAACAAGAGTGAGAAAATGATGACATAAAATAATGACATGTTCAGCTCTTTCCCTGTTTAAAAAAGGGCAGCTCATTTGCACTTTCCAGGTTCTCCTCATCGACTCGTCAACAAATCTACAGGTGATCTTTGAGATTAAAATGTGTTCTTGCGGTTTTCTTTCAACCATTAGGTCTTCAAACAATGAATATGCAGCTATGCAAATACAACACCTTCCGAAGGCATGCCAGGATGTTCATTGAGCCAGCGATTGTTTCTTACTGGCAAAAATCACAGGAAGGCATGCTACAGAAGCTCCATGCAGAGGAGAAAGTGATAGTTGGTGGTGATATGAGGGCTGACTCTCCAGGTATGTATTTTTTATATAATTCACATTTTACATTTCAGAAAGGGGTTTCACTATGTGTGATTTATTCAATTAATGGTTCCTGAAAAACATATGCTAAACACTACAAGCAAAAATACAAATTCACCATCCGCAGAGAAAAGTAATTACTGTAAAACATATTTTCACAGGCCACTCTGCAAAGTTCGGAGGCTACACTATGATGGACCTGAAGAACAACAAAGTCGTTGACCTCCAGTTGGTTCAGGTAAGTGGGGTGAAATGAAATATCAATGTTTTTTTCTTTAACACTGTTTGCACGTTATATTTAAAATGTGTGTATCAATGGTTATTTGTATGTGTCATAACAGAGCAATGAGGTTGGTGGAAGCTACCACATGGAGTTATAGGGCCTGAAAAGGAGTCTGGAGTTGTTAAAGGAACGTGGTGTGACTCTGGACTGTATTGTCACGGACAGACATCTGCAAATTCAGAAATTCCTAAGGGAAAGCAGCATCACCCAATTCTTTGATGTGTGGCACATAGAAAAAGGTATTTTTATTTATGTTAATTTCTATAATAATAGTATAATAATATTTTGAGTAAACTTGTATGTATATTAACTACATGTTAAATGTATTTATTAGGGATTTCTAAGCTACTGGAGAAGGCTGCAAAAAAGAAGGACTGCGAAAAACTTCGAGGGTGGGTGAAGAGTATAAGAAACCACATATACTGGACCGCAGCAACCTCCACCACCGGGCCTGAGAGAGTGGCCAAATGGTTCCCTAAGTGCCTTTATCCACTGCGCATTGCGCAATACCAATGGATGGCTGCAGGTATGTTGTTCATAAACCATATTACATTACTCCTCTATAAATATTTGTAAGGGACAACTATTGAATACAGGATGTTGTCAGACACAATCTATAAAGCATGACAAATCAAATATGACTTTGATTTTCAAATTCTTAGGAACGCCGGCCTTTCACAAGCTGGAGACAATTCTCTCAACCAAGAGGATTTTGAAAGCTGTGGCCAAACTCAGCCCACACCACCAGACTTAATCTTTGGAGTCATTCCATGCCGTCATCCTGCGCTTTGCTCCAAAGAATGTTGTGTTTCCATTTCTTGGAATGTTGTGCAGGTAAAATAAACCATAGTTACTTACTAATTAGTGACAATTTGTACATTCTTTGCTATTATTTACTTTTTTTCCCCTCATGGCAGAAATTAAAGACTGTACCTGGCAGCCCTGCACTACAATGAAAACGCTGAGCGTGCACAAGCCACTACATCCACTGGAAACCCTCTATATAAACTGCAGTTCCCAAAGGCCAGGAAGGGAGAATGCAGAGCAAAACCAGTAAAGACTGACCCCACATTCCGTAAGTGTTTAAAATATTTATTATACAACTATTTACAAATATAAAATAAAAAAATTAGAAAGAACTTTCAGTTTTTTACATGCATATCTAAACCACATTTTTTGTTGTGCTTTTTTTAATATTGCACAGGCTACGTGGCCAACTTAATGGACCTCATCTTCGACCAAGTCTTTGTGGACCCTGCACCATTCACACAGGAGCTTCTGAAGATACCCATCCCAGAGGACCTGTGTTCCCAATATGAGCGACCTGACAGGGAGGAGGTCATCTCCGGGTATGCTACACGGTTCAATTTGGCTGCCGTCTGAACCCAACATACACATTTCGCGGATCAGGAAACTCCCTGCGAATCCTGAGGACAACGCAGGCCGGAATCACCACTCTGATCCTGCGTCCAAGGAAGCCCCAGCACCAGCTCACAAAGCTTCTGTAGGCTAGATACCTGTGACGCCTGCAATCATTAAAAAAATATATTGTGTCATTTATACAAAATAAAAGTACATTTCGTTTTTTTTTATGGGTTCAAAGAACCGTTGATTTTGACAATAAAGTTCCGAGTTGATATCAAATGTGTCGTGATTATTCATGTTTGGATGGGTAAAGAATATTCTGATTTCAAAAGCATAAGGTTGTGTGTGGACTTTTTTTGTCGTACACATGGGTGTGTTATGCCATTGCTGTGTAATAATATATATAATAGTACATGTACAATGAAAGATTGCATAAAGCCATATACACCAGTATTTATTTCCATGAACAATATTAGCATTCGTTTTACAATTTCAGTCAAAAGAAACAAACCACTCACTGCTCTATTTGCCTCAACTGTAGTCCACCATGTTCAGCTCTGTAAATATTCAATGCATTCTGCAGGGAGAACACATTCAGGCACACAGGCTCCAATCCAGGATGGTCCACCATACAGGTTACAGAGTTCTCAAGTTCCTGCATCCGTCTTGACACCTAGTGTGATAAACATATTGAATGACATGTTAAAAATGCATTCTCTAAACAGACAACTTAGTGAAGCTATCAAAAATGTTACCTGTGGTATCGCCATGCAGCACACATTCTCCGGTTCAGAAGGCATCGTGGCGCAATTTGCACATGTACACCTGTAGAAAGAAGTCAATAACTGAGCTTTTAAAAACACATGAAACTACACACACTGCTGACAACTGAGGTGTTGTTGGAGTTATACTTTTTATCACCCTAAGTTATTGAACTTTCCAACGGTTGTTGCACGATGTTGGAAGAAAATGGCTGTAAACTATTAATAAACGCAATGAGGCCATTGTATATATGCTGAAAATATGAATGTCTCCCTTTATAAATATATATATGTATCGCTGTTTTTGCGTTACAAGCTCTAAGTTATAAACTGTACACATAGCATTCTTGCTAATTAGCCAAAATATGAACGGAATAAGTAGCAATCATCGTAACAGAGTAAAATAAATAGGAACAACAGCTTGTCAACTAACCATTCAGAAACGTCCTGCTGCAACCGAGATCTTTGCACCTCCACCAAAACCTCCGCTGCTTCAGGGTCAGTCTCTGGATCAAATTGATAATACGCTTGAACACATGCATTGCTCTGAGATGACATGTTTATTCCACACTCGTAATCACAGCAAGCATGTTAACGTGACTCTCACCGGCTCATGCCCCGCTCTTCTGCAGGGGGGCGTGGTCAGCTGCTGCTCAGAATTTTCAAAGACAGGCTTGGAAAAGAGCGAAAATGAGCGAAACGAGGCATGGCTAAAAAATGATCTGTTTGGTATTTTGAAAAATAAAATGTATAAATATACCTTATATAGGTATGGTCATACACTATATCATTTAAATATAGCATGATAGGTCTCCTTTAAGTATTTCTATGAATTTCTGCAACCTGACCGACAGGAGTGAAAACATAAAATCTTTGATATTGATTCATTTGATATTCACTCATTGAGTAATATCCTTGACCAGAGGATGGATTTAATTGAGTGAGTCCATGTGCCTTTGAGTTTGTTTTTTCTGCAGGAAGAAGGGAGCCTAAAGGGAACTGATGTTGTGTGGGTGGAAAATGACATCAACTGTGTTTTCAAGGACATCCCAAGGTAAACAAGGAGCTCCCACTCCTCTGTACATCACAGCACCATTTGCCATAGGCCACGCCGGAGTGCTCTCTCACCATTTTCCCCCCTCCCACCACGTGACGACAGCTCTTTAAAATGCCACCCACAAGGGCCAAAAGATGATTGCTGGAATCTGATTGGCTCTGCAGGGCTGAATGGTTGCTATGGAGAATATTGGGTTTTCAAAAAGCCAATTTTCCTTCGTCTTCAGAGGATGTAGTGACGCCTATATGGCAGGACTGGTGATTTGTCACATGTGTCTTATATTAGAGGCAGATCAGATGAAATGTTAATGGATTTTAATGATCGCTCTGAGGGAAATGGGTCACTCCAGCTGCAAATAGTCAGAAGATACAGCGAAGAAAAATAGGATGTTAATAGCAAACAGAGCTTTGTCCACTCAGTGTTTTCACTTCGTAAGCTACATTCTATATGAAGGGTTCATGGTTGGAGCAATAAAGGGTGTGCAGTGTGTCATCAAATAAAAAATGAGAATAAAGTGATGGAGAAATAAACACCAAAGAACATTAAATGCATTTTATTATTTTACATTTGATGATAATATTTGAAAATGATTAGAAACAAATAATGACAATGGCATGTTTTGTGCCTGGTTTTTGCAAAAGCTTGATTTTATTTAAAACCTCCTTTGAGTTAATAAAACGCAAACTGTCTGCATGGCTTGATAGTACAAGAGGTAACCAGAAAAAAGTTTTTGGGATTTGTAAACTGCACTGAATGTAAAAAAGTCTGTTCACAGTCCATTCTTTAATTATTTAAAATGTTGTTCCAATCTTGGCAATGAGTTAAAAACAATTCACAAAAGATGTACACTTTAAGCCAATCTTACTGAAAAAGAGATGCCTGTCAATAATCTGTTCCCGGGCGCTGTGCAATAGCTGGCCACTGCTCCTAGTACTAGACTCCTGGTACTAGGATGGGTTAAAAGCAGAGAACACATTTCACTGTTCACAGCTGCTTACAAACCAGTAGGTACAATAACCTGAAACAAATCAAATAAAAGTCAAACTACCATCAGCGAAACAGATTACATGACATCCTTTTATTGTGAAATTATTGTTTATTAAAACATTTTCTCAAACCCAAAGATGTCCATACAGCCCTTTAAATCCTTTGGTGATGCATTCCACAGTTTAACTACAACAATACCACTATGGGAAAGTTAATTTAGTCAATACCAGTTTATCTTCTTCAGTTTGGCTTACAGGAATAAAACAAAAAATACATATACTGTATATCATTTCAGACTGTTGTTTCAGATATGGTTACATTGTTTTGTACAGTTACATTCTCTCTGTACACCTCCTTACCATCATGTTTTGAGTGTAATTCATTTAACAACAAAAATGACAATAAATGAAGAGACACAAAACGACCACAAAGAGACACAAATTAATTTGTCTTTAGATGATTCGATAATGTCATTATTGTCAACTAGTTTGTTCACAATGATTACACAGTGAACATAATACACAAAACGACTACAAAGAGACATCAAATAACCACAAAATGACCACATGTTGACAGTTCTTTAGATGTTGTAAAAATGTCATTATGGTAAATTCCTTTGGCAATAATTGTTATCTTAATTTCACAAAAATATAAAACCATTTAGCTTTATCAATTTGTTAAAGGTATCCTGTGGGGTTTCTTATAAAACCATAAAACATATTTGCATTCAGTGTTTGTTCACGTAACACATTGTTTCTCCTTGACCTCGAACAAAGCGGTGAGTGCCATTTTATCCTCATTTACAAAACTGATTTTCAAATATATTATGTTCACCAGTTTGCATTCTTCACTCAAGGTTTAGTCAAGCCTTGTAATAACACTGATAGTGTGAAAAACACCCATTGATCACAAGATTTAACCATTAGAATAGTACTTCTGTCCACTATCCTTTGTGCATGTGTTTACGCGCTGCATCACGCTCACCCTCTTGAATTAAATCAGAGATGCACCTCTCCCTCTCTCTGTTATTCATGAGCACTCTCGACCATCCTTCTAACTGTGTGTCTCTCATGGGAAGCATCTTTGAATAAGTAATGCTTACTAATACTCAGAGGTAAACAGAAGGTCGGCCTTCTGTTCAATTACTCGAGTAGATGTATATACCGATACAGATATTTTTTCAGCACAAAAAAGGTTAAACTACAGAGCAACAAGCTGGTAACAGGTCCATCATATAGAATAATTAGCTTGCAGTGAAGTGTGTCCTGAGGAACCTGTAAAGAGTCAGATCGTTTTTCTTCAGTGGAGACATGAGTTGGATTAAAACTTAATATAAAAAAACACTTTTCTTGTGTATTTAGTGATTAGGCTTAATGATAGGCTCACAGAGATGAATGACTAAAATACGATACAATACAACTTTCAATTTACATTTTCCATTTCAACACATTTAAACTCATGATACGTAAACATCTTTGATTATATCTTCTGAATTCAGATGTGATTTAACGAAGAAACACAAAATGACAAAATTATTACAAATCAGTGGCGACTGGTCATTAGGGGCAGGTGGGGCACAGTGTCAGCAGAAAGTATTACAAATAATGATTACAAAAAAATAAATATATAAAATATATTTTAAGATCATGTTTAATCATCTGATTCGTCTGTACAGATGTAGCACCTCATTTCAGACTCCAGCTTACAGCTTCCTGCCTACGACCTGCCTAAGACCAGTATCGAGGAATGTTAAGCCCTCCCACTATTTTTCAAGAGGGCGTTGCCAGATTTTCAATTTCAGGTTTTAA